AAGTAAAGCGTGGTTTTCATTGATTGGTCGGCTGTAATTAAGAGTTATGGTTTACATCACAGCGGTCACGTGCGTTGTACCGTTCTTTTACAATCACCATTGTTTAGCAATGTTTTAATTAGCTACATGTTTCCAAACGACATGTTAACCTACACGTCTTTGGTAATCTGTGTGCCTTTGATGTTAGTTTTGAAAATAATTTAAAAATACTACCAAATATATTATGTTTTTTTATTGTCCGTTCTCTTGCGACCTAACCTTATATGCTTAATTAATTTAGTAGATTGCGATGACATTACACTCCGAAATTGAGTAGCCTTTGACACTATGGGTTGACAACCTCACATAAATTCGAGAACGTCTTTTTGGAATAAAATTAGAGACAAATCTTTCCACAGATCAGTAGTACACAATTTGAATGAGACATTAATGCTTGCGTTTTAAATCTGCATGACCTTACACAGGTTGCATCGTGTAATACGATGCGCCCAGATACACTTGTACCCAGAAATACAGTCAGCAGTCGGGTCACAGACTTTGAACCGTTTGTAAGAAGGTTACACGTGTAAGAAAATGTTGATATTGCAGTATACCTGGCGCCAACTATATGCACCGTAGGCTATAAATTCTATGTACTTAAAATACAATACAACCTGACACATTGTTACATTATATTAAATTATGGTGGACTTGTTTGAAGTAATTCGATATTAAAAAGAAAATCAGTCGACGAGACTTAAACATATTGAGTTATAACTTTATCGCGCAACTATATCGAGTGGGAATAAAAAAACAAAAGCTAGTAGCCTATGTGTTCTTCCAGACTATCCTCTTCGTCTATGCCAAATTTCATCAAGATCCGTTGAGTCGTTTAGGCTACAAACTCTAACAAACATCCATCCATACATCTAAACTTCCGTATTTATAGTATTAGTGAGAAGTAAGATTAATACAATATATGGTATTATTACTGCGAAATTATATGAAATATTTGTATTTTTTAATTTTCAAATAAAACTGTTTTTCGAAACAATTATAAAGTAAATGCAACCAAACTCTGTCGTAGTGTTATAGTAGTTCTTGCCTTTTTAAAATCTTTATTTCAGTAATTACTTTTCTAAAACATTTGGATACCAATTATAATTCGATTGCAGTACTATCGAGTCTTTGTTCCCATTACGTGCTTAAAGCATTTTTAAAGGAAATTAACTAGCCAAAGTAACGTCCGTCGTGTTTAAAAATGCCACATGCGTCGTGGACGTGCGGACGTCCGCGTATTCCGATAGCGAATTTATTACAGGATAAATCTGATCATAGTAAATCGCTTCAAAATAATTAGAATATAAGATAGATGCCACACGGACGTAAACGTCTAGCAACCAACCGCTTTTGTGGATATAGATATACGAATACCCAACACATTTTAATCTGTGATGAGGTCTTGCCAATAGAAATTAAATATATATTCATCCGACAGATTTTCTCTTAATTAATTGTTATTGCCAGTAAAATTGCCAGGATGTTGGTATTAATATATTTTTTTATAAATTATTAATTAAACCGTTATAAGTAAATTATGATTTTACTTTGATATTTGTACACAAAACTTCCTTTTTGTCTCATATGTGTGGCTTGAATATTTAATAATTTTTTTGTTTATTTAAGTAATATATTTATTTCTGTAAGGGTTCATAATCTTTGTTTCTTATTAATATTTTGAGAACACACACGGAAGGATCAAATCACGTCTTTGATTCGCAAATTAACAATTCATTTCCTCTACATTTGTCCTTATTTCGTGATCTTCACAGAAGTTCCTTAACTGATAACATTCTAAGTGGTTTACATGTTATTAAACGATTAATCTAAAGTTATCATAAAAAAAATATTGTATGTTGTTTTAGCTTTATTCTTGATATTTCCTTAAGAAGCGTACTTTAATATCTAATGTCTTTATTATTTAAATACTAGCTTTCGCTCGCGAATCCGTCCCTGTGGGATTTAAAACAAAAGACTATCCTCTACATCCATACGGAAATTCATAGAGATCCATTCAGCTGTTTAGACTACAAACTCTAACAAACATCTATCTAAACTTTCGCAGTTATAATATTAATAAGATAACTCACAAGTCTTTGAAGATAACAGTCTAAAAACTTGTTTATGCAAAGACTAAACCGGGTTATAAAATTGCGATACATTGAGGTAATTAGAACTCGTTCGGAAGCCTAAAAGAAACCGTGCAAGTACATTCACCTCGCGCTGACGACCGGACGATGCACTTACTAGAACACCTGATGTCGGTAAACCGTCAACAAATTTCACGAATAAACGAAACGGTTTGTCGGTGTCAAGTTAACCTGGTGAACGGGCTAATGACCAAGGGCTACTTAATAGATACATTCAATTTCCTTCTTTATCATCTACTCTATAAAGTTTTAAATTGATAATTTCCACATAATCGTCCGTTAGTACTTGTTATAAAGGAAGGCGTGGCGAAAAAAGGCGATCTTACCGACGATCCAAAATAAGTTCTATTGTTATACAAATATGTCATAGATTAAACTGCATATTGAAATCATTGTTTAACTAAAGTTTAGAACGACGTTGTCTAAACATAAATTATTGAACTCTTTAGAGCTGGCGCATTCTTTAGACTAAAGTATCGCTAAACTTTTGTACGATTGTCGATTGTTTCGTTGCCCATTCAACTGTTTAGTTGCACAATTAAAAATCGAGTAGTGTGCCCACCTCCAAGTAAGCGCATAGGAATCAAGGCGTGACTAAACGTCTCAGTTTTTACAAAGAGTAGAAATCAGATGACAGTATGTGTTAAGAAACTTGCTGTGGTAGTGGAAACGCAGAGCGGGTTAGTAATGTCAAAGATATGGCCATACAATTTATACTATCTTGATCTATTAACAAAGTATTTGAATGTCGAACGCTACCGGATGTGAGATATCATTGGTAAAGTACTGCGGTAAAAAATAAATTCTTTTAGATATAATATACTCATGTATATTTTTATATGACTCATGTGAATACAAAATATCTTATGTTTTGTAACAAAACTTTTTTTATTGTAAAAAAATATGCAGTAGGAATAAATTTGATACTTATTTCCTTATAGCAAAACAAATACGTTTGACACAAAATACGATCTGTACTATTATAATAAAGCGTAAACACACACTTCTTTGTTGCCTAAGATGTCAGCAATTACAGCATATTTTTTTAATATTTTTTTTAATAAAAAGCCCTACACTTACGTCACGCTTTAGGCTATACATTTTCGCGCCATTAAACTTAGGGGGTAAATATTTTGGATAAAACCCTAATGTGAGAAAGAGACCATAAGTTGCTGTCAACATCAACGAAGCAAGATTGCCATGGTTTGTCATCACGTCATGTCATTTTGACATTTGCAATTGATAATTTGACACATGTAAACAATAAAATAGCGCATAATTTTATGCGGATGAAGTCGCACGGGAACAGCTAGTCGCTTATAAATACAGGAAAGTGAGTATGAAGAGCTAAAATGAAATCATCTGCCTTCAATTATGTATGCTACTCTGTTTTTCCTTACTATTTTGCTATACGTTTGGTTTGTCCAGTTGGAGCCAATTTAATAAATTACCTATACCAATACGCAAGTATTTGGCATATAATTTACTATCGTTCGGTTCCGTACTCGATAAAAGTTCATTATTTCTATACTATTACCTGTACAGTTATTGTCAGTTGTTTAAATTAAATGTCAGATTATTTAATAATTTTATAACTTTATCTATACTAATATAATAAAACGTAACTAATATTACACACACTACTTTGTGGCGTAGGTTGTCAGCAATCACAGCATATTTTTGAATTATTCTTTCTTTAATCAAAAGCCCTACGCGTATGATACGCTTTAGAGTATATATTTTTACGCTATTAAACTAGGGGGGTTATTAAATTAGAAAAAATCTCTCATATGTGAAAGGGATCATAAAGTACAAGCTGCTAACATAAAGGAAGCAAGATTATGGTAACGGCAATTTTGACATTTAAAATTTGACAAATGTAAACAATGAAATAATTTTTTTATAATTTTACGCGGATGAAGCGGGAACACCTACTTTCTAATACACCGGTATGGTATTTAGTTTTAAATGTGTTGAAAGAATCAATAAAATGTACGGTTTGCGGTCGTTCGCTCGCAAGGGCCGGCATCGATCCGGTATTTTCCCACAAGGATCGATTCTTTTATATCGCAAATTTACGATAAAATTGCCGCAATGTAACGCGCATGTTAGGTAACCGGTATAAACCGGTTAAAAGTGACAATGGAAACGTTATCTATGATATTAGGAGTTTATTGAACTATTCACGTGAGTCGCAAAAAAAAATTTGTACTTGTTACATCCGATGTATCTAAAGTGGTACGATACGCAATATTAGTACAAGTTTACGATAAAAATGAGAGTTTTGATCACATTCTCGGGAATCACAAATATCTATTAAAAAATGTAGCCTATAATATGCCCGTTTATGTCAGCTGCGCTCCAGTGAAAGCCCGGTCGAACTCAGCGCAGCCGTATCGGAGATTGCCCGGAACAAACGCAGCCTGCGTACAGACAGACAGACAAAAAATTTTAATTGCCATTTTCGTTATCAACAACGCAAATACAACGTCTTCCCGAATTTTTCTTTTGATGTTACAAACAGATACTCCACATTTATTATATGTATAGAAGATCGCAGGCAGATGCTCAATTAAAAATAATTACAGGATCTAAGATTAAAAACTTATCTTTTTGCGATAAATTAAAATAATAATCATTACAGAAACAACGTAGAATGGAATGATCACCATCGAAACGTGACTATAATTTTTCAAGAACAATTCCGGTAACAATATTATTACTATAGGGCAGTTTAATTAATAACAATTATTGTTGAACAAAGATAAACTTTATGGTCATGTCTTTAATGTTTAAATTCATTTGTTACAGATGCCCCGAATGATGCGAATTACATGATATGCGGCGTGGTGATTGCCATGGCCCTTGTGGGCCTTATTATAGTGCTGCTGGCACTAACGATAAAGTAAGTATATGAACTACTTTTCCTAATGTAATGACAATCAATTTATGAAAACAGAGCTCAGTGAGTAACCCGTATTGTTTGGATTCTAGCTCGTATTTAATAAAACTGGCACAAAGGTATAAAAACAATTTACTATTACTGTTAAAAATGAATACGTGAACGACTTACGTTTAGGTTTTAAATGCATTATCTCAAAAAAGGTAAAGTATGTACAATGCCCATAGATATCCGCAATACTATAAGAATTGCAGAATTATATTGCGACGTATATTCCCTAAATATAATATTAATATTTTGATAGATCTAGATTAACTATAGATTAGAATAAATCATAACAAGTTTGTGAGAATTGTGCCAAAATACATCGTCATAAATCTCCTTTTGCTCAAGTGGTTAATGTTAAAGCGTAAATATTATGCTTATGGATAATTTATATTATTTATCTGTGTCGTTATAATTTTATTTCGATCGTTCTAGAACAGTCTGTCTCTTCAAAATTATCAACGTCTTAACTATCATATTCATTACGTATAGGAACTTAGACATTTGGCAAATTGTCAGGAACTTGCAAATGACTGCATTCCCAGCCGATTCCGTAACATCATTTTAAAATGGATTCGGATTTTAAACTAGACATCTGTTGCAGTAACAGTCACAACTCCCAGACACATGAAATCTCTCTTTCACATGCTTTAAAAAAAAAGAGACAACGATATGTTTCTTGTGAACTATTCGACAGTGAACTAACGATTATGTTGCATTATTATTCCGCCAACATCAGATCAACGTTTATAATTGATGAATACCTTTTGTTGCATGAAACAAAGATATCAACGAGAAATTGTTACTCTTTATTCAAATATATGTGCTTTTGCTTTTCTCGTCATAACAATCTGTTCGAACGTATTACCAAAAAATCTACACAATCACCATACAGCGACATTATTCTAATTGTATCATTGATCTGTATAAATGGATGGATTGCTTGGAAATTCTCAGCGCCAAAATAACGTAAATCAAATACGCACCAATTATTACGTCTTATAGCCTATCCATTTGTCTAGGTTAGTGACCTGTATTTTGTAATGATAATTATCGATTTATTTATGACATAAGGGCACATGTTTTATTCCATTGTATAAAATCTCCATACATATATGTTATAAATTAAAATATGTTCCATTTTGTTCCAACAGATAATAAAAACAATGTCAAATCACGGAACTTGTGCCATCCGCATTTGTGGATGTTTCCTTATTTTGTTGTTTTGCTTGTATTTATTACTGGTTTCCTGTTCAATCTTCTTTATTACCTTTGATTACATACTACTTACTTTCTTTATGCGTTATGAATTAATAATTGTTATATACTTGCAATGAAACTTGTATTTATTAATACATGTTTATTTCCGTTCTTAACATTATCACACACAATCAAAAATCAAAGATGATAGTCGTCCGAGCATAGAGTATAAAAAAGGAAATTTGGCAAAGACTAACATCAACCCCCAACGTTTAACAGTAATCAACCTATTTACTATTGTTAAATGTAAAATACAACAGAAATCTTAATATGCTTATCCAATTAGCAAAACAAAGATGTTCACCATCTGGTACGATGACATAATTGCGTTTTCTGTCACCAACCGTTTGTAGACTTCGCCAATTTATAATATCTCTAATAAATTAATAAATGTAACCAAATGAACAATTAAATGCCAAGATAATTTAATTACCGAATCTGTAGTTTGTATATTTAAAAAGCCTCAAAATTATGTTACTTTTTCTGCATACACATCAAATGTCTGTATTTATTAATTTAAATTTGATAAAAAGTCTAAGTTCTTAATTGTTCGGTGACGTGTGTAACAACAATGCTAGTCATTTGTTCAAGGCGATAGAACGGTCGGGCCATATTGTTGACTTCAAGGATTTAGCCAAATTGCACTTTGTTTCAATGTTTCGTCTATATTTGTCGCTCACTTAAATAGATCTTGAAAACTCTTTGTTTTTATACGAAATCGGAACTTTATTTTATTATCCTAACAAATTAACAATAAAAAGTACAATAGAAGATTATTCTACATTGTATATACATTATTATTAATATTATAATGTTTAATGAAATTATGTTTTTGTCTAATTCATAGATGAAAAATGGACAACAATGTAAATACTTGAATATATAATTAAGATTTAATTTAGAAATTAACCGGGTAATAACAACTTCGCTTAGTTAAATATATAGCAAGTATCTCAAGTAAATATAGTAAGTAATAAGTAACAATGTTAACTGATGAATTCCTTAGAACTGTAGATCCGGGTCTAAATGAATACGCAAACTACCAAAGGTACTCTACAAGTAAATGGCAGGCAAATATAAGTTAAAATGGTAATACCAATAACCTCATACCATTTATTAGGTAAATGAAATTGAATTTGTAAATATTTGTGACGTAAAATCGTTCTTATTTTAAATGTTAAATCATTTTAGTTACGAATCGAAACAAATGAAGGTGCAACTTTTCTTAAAGATACACTTTAATTTCTTTAACTACACAACACTTGGGGATCTCATGATTATAAAAATACAGAGTAAAATTAACTTTGACACAAATGTGAATAAGGTTCATTTTGCAAAAACAATGAGTAAGTAATAAAGCAAATACTATCGTTATAAATCATACATTTAACTACGACAATGAACTAATTACTAAACTGGGTCAAACATATGTCAAGCCCTAATGCGAATAAAAAGAAACAAATGCCCGATTTACATATGACCAGTACAGTTGGTTAATATCGACAACTGGACTGGCAATCAGCTGGCATACTGTGCTGACTAAATGGCGCCAGTGAGTCAATACAATTTATGACTGGCCGATTGTCTAACTAGTCAAGTGTGAACCGGGTATTACGTCACAAGAGAACAAAATTAATCTAATCGCTTGAGGGTAGATGAAAATAATAGACTTGTAAAAAAACTTTAAAGATAGTGCAGTGTATTCGGCTGGTAGTGAAAAAAACAATTTGCCGTAACTAAAATTGTGAATTTTGTGTTAATATTTTAAATAGAATAGTGACGAGTGTACAATTTGCACAGAATGTTATTTGTGATGATCCTGACAAGATGTGTTAGAAAACTTTTAAAGGTTATGTAAGTAGAAAGTACCTATGTTATTAATTTAAGATACATTTTAAATAATAATTCTCTTAAGAGAGAAGTAATTAGAGATTTTTTTACTTCTATGTTGTTAATTCGCAATACACAATAATTTTATGTTGAAATATTTAACTTCAAATATACGTTTCACTAGGTATTAATACCTATTCATGTTAATTAATTTCCCCTTTACATTAACGTGAATGTTCAAAATAGAACCCGTAGCGTTAATAAGGAAATAATTAGCAACAAAATTATACAATTCTAAAATATACAAAACTCAATGTCATGCGCAGTAATAGAAGGGTACTGAACCAGATCGCGTTCTCAAATAATAAAAGCTTTAGATATAATGTCATAACCTCGGGGTAGTAGGTTTAAGAAACTTTAATTTTATTAGTATTAGGAATGCGAAAATTTAGATAGGTGGGATGAATGTTTGCTAGAGTTTGTAGCCAACGGCTAAACGGTTCTGGATGAAATTTGGCATAGGTGTAGAAAATAGTTCAGAAAAACACATAGGCTACTTGTTTTTGTTTTTTTTTTAATTCCACGCGGACGGAATCGCGCGCAAAAGCTAGTAGATTATAAAATTTGTGCTTGCAAAGCAGTTAAAGGCAGTAGACTTTTCTAGCTTAGTATGGTAAAGACGGAGAAAATTAACCACGCAGTATATGTGACTATTTAAACAATAGTTATACTTTATGTTTTTTTTAACATAAATAAACCAGCGCTTGACCACGATTCCACCATAGCTATGTGAAGACGCGGTCGTAGGATAGATGCACGCTAGCTCAATAAGTTTCCGTCTCTTGATGCTAGGCTATCTATTATTCTGACGGAATACAGAGATAGAAGACAAGATAACATGATTAATTACACCCACCATCTACCACGTAACGAAACCCTACACGCTTGTATGCTTACCACTTCAGACAAGTTTTAGCACATATGTGCCAGTTTTAATTAGACTAGTCATTAAGACCTAATTGATTATTTCCGCTATGGTACATTCTCATGTAGGGATAATAACAATTTAAATTGTGTCGGTATCAAAACTCGTTTAAATTACGGAAATTCCGTTTTGTAGTTTAACGTGTATTTTGAATTTAGACATTAATCGAAGACCGTATTCATAGTAAGGACTAACATTGTGGTGGTCTTTTTTTTATATCGATTTCTACACAGAATCACAATTACTGTCAGTTTAGTTTTAGTGAAGCAACAAACTACAATGTAACCTTGTTTGTATTATTTTTTATAATGTATCGTATACCGATCGTATCGAAAGTAAATCGACTGTGACACAAACTAGAGCAAAACGTAGGCAACATCGATTATTATTCTATTATTTGCAGAATGCGGCTTATTTAGTTTCCTTCATTGTTGCCAACTTGAAACAAAGTCCAGTAATGTAACTGAATCATTTAATATTAGTTTTAATATTTAAGTTTGTGTAAATGTAAATACAGCAAAAAAATCGTTCTTGAAATCTATAGTTCTTTTCACGAAAACCGTCTGTCCGTTGTGTACGTCATTTTATTAGCAATTAAAACAAACATTACACAACAATGAGCCAAACAGCAAGGTTTACCGTCGCTAGGCGTTGGCCTCCAGCCAGATCTGACTGTCTGGATGTGGATGTACAACGTTTACACTGATCGACGTAAATTCACAAACCGCAGTCTAACCCTGTCTGAAAGACAAGAATTGTTTTCGTTTTCTACAGATTTTGCACACCATCCGAAATTAAAATCAGAGTAAATTAGGTATTGATCATTTTAATGTCTATGCTTGACTATAGTTTAGGCCCCAAGATATATAAGATCAACTTAACA